CCGTGTTTCCTCTCTGAATTCCTCTGCCACCGTTGTCAAATGTTAATCGGTTTGTCAGAGGTTTTTTCGCAGGTTGTAAATCAATTCTTTTGTGTGCACACGCAGCTTAGATGAATCTTAAAGGAAATCATTAAGAACGCACGCTTAGTATTTGGATAGTGACTTTTATAAATGGCAGTGAGAGTTACTTATTTAAAAGTAGTGGGAAAATAAAGAGACGATGCCGGTAAATGACGGTATAAAAAGCAGGAGAAGAATGTCTTCCTGCAGAGGACGTAAGGTTATCTAAGAGGAAACGAGTGGCGTTGCAGGCGAAGTCTCTTCCACGGCGATGGATAGCAGGCGTCAGGCAGTGCAGAACCCCCCCTCTACCCCCCTTTTCAAGTTGCAAAAGCTCATTTTGGAGATTTTGCTGGCACGGCAGAAAAGGCCTCTGTTCCCCATTTTCCATATTTCATATACGGCCCATTGGAAAGCATCGTCTGCGAGTGTCATGGCTTGGCACATTTATGAGAGATGCATTGAAGAACTTATCACTTGGAAGATATGCTTAAGTTCAGCATTTTGAAAGTCACTGTGCACTGTATTCACTTACAAAGCAAAGGTACATTTACACGGTGAGTGGTAATGCTATAGGTAAATATGAGCTCGACGGTGTGTGTCTCCAGCTGCTGTTTGCAGCGAAAAATAACCAAGAAATACATCAATACGATATAAAGAACAAATGTGTTCTGCAGATCTATTTCCACCGCAGATATTTTGAGTTGCGACTGTGGAAAAATCACAGGTGTGTCTGTTAACATTCATTAAAGTCCTCTCGCTGCAGAATTACCAGAATCAGCTGAAATGCCTGTAATTCACACCCACCAGCACTCCGGGCTCATTACTGACTTATAGTCTGATCGCACATCCGAACTGAGCCTTCATTTGATCTCAGCTTCACACCTGTAAAGTTTCCTGACAGCATCGACACATTTATTGAAAATAAAAAATAAGAATAAAATGACTGAAGATAAAGAACACCTGCTAACATACTGAGCACCGACTGTCTATGTTTTTTTAGTTTAAAGAGAGCTTCCCCACTTAGTTGATGTTGTCAAAAAACTGTTTCTATTAAAGTCACAGTAGGTGGTGATACTGCGATACTGATCTACTGTTTTTATCAGTTTGTGCAGGATAAAGATCTCAAAACACAAATTTCTGCACATCATTTTAAGCTTTTCATTAAATCAGTTTATAGGATCAGACTAAACTATTCCTGACCCCACAGCAAAGCAGTCATTAGAGAGCTTAATCTCAACTAGGTACTGCGTTACATACCTGCAGCTGCACATATTTCAGCAGATGCACCAGTGCAGCGTTCACGTCACACAATAAATGTGTACTTATACATTGTAATATTATTGTGTTTTATGCAATACTGTCTAAAAATTCCAGTAGAAAATGACACCGGGCGTCATTAGAGCACAAATTCAATTCAATTTCTTTTCTTCTCAACAAAAAAAACGTAGATAGCACCGTGTGCTGAATGCAAGTCGAACCTTTAGAGCGACAGAAGCAGAACGTACGTTTGAAACCGAGCTACAGGAGGATCATTAAGAGGCAACAATAGACAACCATGAAAGGGTTTTCTGTCATTTAGACTAAAAAGACTTTTCTCAGTGTGTGCAGACTTTGCACGATAAACACTTTACTTCAGTCTTCAATGAGCTTTGTTGCACTTGTGGGGGAAAATTACAGGTTTATCCATCTTATTATGTGGCTGAGTCCAGAGAGCTCATGTAAATCCTTACACTCACTCTGCAAACTGTATCAGTCACAAACTGAAAGGACTTGTATAAGACCTCCTCAGTAGGGCATTTTTTTTTACATTTGTTACAGATAAATAAAATAACTGGCTCAGTTATATTCAACAGTTGCAGCCGTCTGTCACACTTACATGCTTTATACTGACAGTGGCGCAGAGCCAGCGTTAAGGTCAAACGCCATCAAGTTCCTCTGTGACGAGTCCAAAAGTCTGCTGTGAAAAGGTTTGAGGGTGTAAAAAAAACGCCGCACAAGAAGTAGACACGAACTGTATAATGACAGCTGAGGAGTCCGTGCACGTAGGTGTGGTGGGGGCGCGTTTTAAACTGTGTTTGCTGTTGAAATGAATGTTTAACTACAGTCTCCTGTTACACTTTTTCTCCAAATAAAAAAATGCATTTTTACCAAAACTGGGGATTTAGACGTGATATTGCCTTCAGAGCTGGAGTGTCAGTGTGGGTTAGTGTCACAGACACGTGAATACTCATGCGGCTGACCCCAATCGGTGCTTGCATTGACAGAAGGAAGCCTTCGCGTGGAAGACAGTGATCTACTTAAAACGGACGCTCCACTTCATGGAGGTGCTCCGACGATTCGGCCCTCGCCGTCGGGGAAACCGAGCAGTGAGGTTTGCTTGACTCGCTGTCAGATGATTGTCGCCAGTGAGCCTATAAGCTCATCTCGGCTAGCATTAGCCGCTAACCCGTGGGACACTGAGGAACTCAAGAACTAAGCAACTTATCGGGAGGCTTCCAGTTCAGGGCATTAGAGCTGACTAAGAGCAAGCAGGGCAACGCTGGCCCAAAGTTCTGCTTAGTCATCGCTTTCCTCAGTCTGGTGTAAAAAAGTGCCACTTTCATTTCCGTGGTGATAAGGGAGAGCGAAAGGCGGGAAACAGACCCGTGTAATACTGATGGACGGAGTCACTCTGTGCGAGCGGGGCCCGAGTGTGCAAATCGGAGGCTAAAAATGCAGCATCAGCAGTGGTGGATTTACTTTGGATGAATGGACTGGACTCGGTGAGGGGAGCGGGGCGGGGCGGGGGTGCGAAGGGCGGTGGGTGTCAAAGCAAGTGGCTGAGACACGGCTAATACTGCCAGTGAGCTGTGGCCACCTAAGTAATTACTACCTTTGCTGTTAGGCTAATCCCCAGAGCAGAGCAGCAAACTCAGGGGAGAAAAGCTTCGGAGCCTCCGGGGCTCCCGTCACTCGACTTCAATTACACAGAGACGCGGACCTGTCTCACCCAGAGAGAGGGAGAGGGGGAGGATGAGATACAGGGCAGGGAAGAAGCCGCCTATCTGCTTCAAATGCATTTAAATAATTCCTCAGAAATGTTCCGTGAACTACGCAGGGAGGACAAACTCCAATTTCAGATTCAGATTACTCTAAGAAAAAGGAAAAAAAAAGAATAAATAATAAACAAGAGGACAGTCACATTATAAAACAACAGAAGACCGATTTCTAATGCTGCTCTCTATAAATGCTGCTCTCTCCTGTCTGTTCGTAAAGAGGTAAACACTGAAAACAATAAAAAGAAGGATTTGAATTGAGCAGGATTGGTTTTACTGTTCAGGTATACATGTGAAATTTCTTCCATGCTGACTAACACTTTGTGCAAGCATATAGTGCAGAAATATTTAAAGAAATGTAAAGGTTTGGTTTGTGACATAACACAAAAATGAGAGGAACAGTCACTGCTCTAAAAACACATTTGAAATCTAATCACGCATCGAGTTTCGTCGGAGCACGTGAGTTAATAAGGCGTGCTTGATTTTAAAAATTCAACTCCGGAGAAACAGTTTAAGCTTAAATTAAACACACATGCACGGAAACAGAAACAAAGACAAACTACATCCTGCACACTGACTGCAACCGAGAAAGAAGAAGGGATTTCACAGCACTCTGGTGATGTTACTAATTTAAAATTTGACAGGAAAGTGAGAGTAAATGATTTATTACATCAAGTGAATACTTTTTCTCTTCCTGCTGATCTACAGCCAGCTCAGCATCAGGCTCAGTCTGGGAACTTCCACTCTGTGGGTTACCTTTGCGTTCGGAGCGTTTCTTGCGCCTCCTCTTGAACCTGCGTCGGATCAGGCAGTAATAGGAGCCCAGACTCTGTGCGCCGTTGGTGAGCAGGGCCATGACTTGGTGCACACTACTAGAAATTCCACTAAACAGCTGCCTAACTCTGGCTGAGCGCTTCGTTAAAACTGGAGCAAATTAAACTTGAACTCACACACGTGGTCTACCTGCCCCTCAACCTTCGCCCTCGTCCGCTTCACACCACTGCAAGCTACTGACATGAAGAACGCTCAACTCCACACACCTGCAGCGTTTCTTTGTTTCTACTTTAGTCCTTCCCTCATATCCAAACCCTCTCTCTCTCTCTCCATCCCTCCCTCCCTTTCCTCCTCGCTGCTTCTCTCCTCTGTTGACTCCATGTCTGCCCTATCAGTAGTCAGAGAGGGGAGGCGATGGAGTGGAGGAGGAGGGGACAAGCTGAGGAGAGAGACTCATGTTTTCATATCGATAAAAATTAACACACAGACCAAAGGCAAACTCTCTACCTGTGTAATCCCAGCTCAAAGTAACTGACACATCCTGCAAGCGACGCCAATGTCATCCACCGACTTCCTCCACCCGCTTACCAGTTCATCATACCGTAGCTTTCTGTGCTGTGTTACTGTAATATGAGTCTATGTTTAACTATATTCCCTCTGCAGTGAAAGTAAGAGTGTCGGCTCAGTGCATCTCCAGTACACCCCCCCGTTTCTCTCACACACTCAAACACACACAACACACTCAAACATATGACATTAAAATAAGCACATATAAAAAAGTTACAACTGCAATATTAAAATCATCCGTCACTTGTCATCATACCCACCTGTCTCCTTCTTTAAGATTTATATTTTTTGTATTCCCCAATAACGAGCAAGCTCACCACTTGAGAGGGTGAGAACTTAGAAAGAAGTGCTCTGCCTCCCTCTAGTGGCCATCTCGTGTAATTGCAGTTTTGCTGGGCCCAAACCACTTTTTTAAGCCACAGAAAATCAAACAACACTTATGATAGGAGCGCAAAGTTATGTTAGCTTCGTTGACAAATGTAATACAATTCTATACCGGGTACAAACTCAGTATAGAGACAGACAAAGAAAGGAAGGAAGGGAAACGGCAAAAACACTTACCTCTGGCTGCCGTGCAGTCTGTGACCGGAAAAATCTGCAGGAGAGACAGAGAATACTTTACTAAACGACAGCGCTGACCAAGAAGTGTCTGCAAAAGCTCTTTTAGAGACGCAGTGCAACCAAGTTAGTGGCAGACAACAAGGAAATATGCACATGCTGGACTCATTCTTTCAAATTAGCCGTTTCCACATCAGCTCATCTTTCCCCACATTGTTCCAAAGAATTCCTGGATGGTTACCTAGAGCCACTCTTTGGATGGAACATGGGCTTAGGTGCCTGATCCCATTCATTTAGCTAAAAAACACAATTTTGTCAGTCGCTGGACTGTTTCAAGGCTTCCTGATATTTTATTTGGCAAAAACTACTCCCTTATAAGGAAATGTGATCTCTGTAATTGGTACACAGATCAATTACAGAGACTGCAGGAACGGTAAGTGGTCAGCTGCGTGGTTTTTTTTAAATATGTTTCTTAAACGGCTGGAGGAGAAAAATCATACTGGTGTAACCAAATAATCTACAAAGCTTGAACCCACTGATCTCACATGCCAATGTAAAAATGTAAAGACTGACTGCATGAAAACGTCTGAGTGGGTAATCAGATAAGGCAGATCCTGTTACCATTATTCATTCACTATTATAAAGGGATAAATAAGCCAAGCACAATAAAGCCTGATCACGTCAATGCTCCAGACAACCTGCTAAATCTGTCAGCCATTAAATTGGCTGCTAATGCCTACAGATAAATGTGGAACGGCATGTGTGTTCTTGATGCTGTTGTCAGTTTTTTTGAATAATTAATAACTACCTCGTGTGATTGTTTATTAACTGGAACGTTAATAAACAATCACCCCATTTTCACCCCTTCAATATGTTAATATTTTCTATTAACAGCTTTTATTTTCTTTGGTATGCATGTGTACTAGTGCTTATTAATGCAAATATCTAATCAGCCAATTACACACCAGCAACTTTTCAGTACATAGACACGGTCAACACGTCCTGATGAGGAGATGTTTCAGACTGTTTTAAGCAGATAAGATGTCAACTGTAGCTAAAATAACCACTCATTACAACAAATATGCATCTCTTAACCTTGAGGCTGACGGCCTACAGCAGACCACACTGGAAGCCACGCCTGCCAGCTAAGAACAGGAAACTTATCAAAAGATGACAAAAAACCTGCTCGGCCTGATGAGTTTCGATCTCTGCTACAACAAGAAAGCACAGATCCATCCTGCCTTGTGTCAACAGTTCAGGCTGCTGCTGCTGGTCCTCTTATTATCAACTAAACATCATCTACATGCCACAGCCTACCTGAGTGTTGTTGCTGACCATGTTCATTCCTTTATAACAAGATACCCCCCCCCCCCGATGTAGGCATCCAGCCGGATGTCACATGTCACAAAGCTCAAATCATCTCAAGCTGTTTTCTTGAACATGACAGGAGTTCACTGTATTCAAATGTCCTCCACAGTCACCAGATCTTGGGCAAATAGAGCACCTTTGATATGTGGTGGCATGAGAGAGCCACATCGTGGATGTGCAGCCAACAAATCTGCAGCAGCTGTGTGATACTGTCATGACAATGTGGAAAAAAATCTGAAGAATGCGACCAGGACCTTCTTGAATCTATGCCACAGAGAATGAATCCAGTTCTGACTGCAAAAGGGGGCCTGAGCCAGTACAAGGAAGGTGCACTTAATGAAGAGTCCAGTTTAATACTGGACTCTTCATGGATACTTACTATATAACGGTAAGGCAAAAATCATAAGAAAAAGTGTAATGTCATATATGTAATGATATAATGTGATATATAATGTGTAATGATGGGAGGTACAATGTGATATTAGAGTCCAAATGGTACTGGATGTGTGAGGCTAAGCTCTGAGAGCGTTGTAGACAATTCAGGGGTTTTTTCAAAAACTGTTCAAAAAACCCCCAAAAACCCAGCAAATCTCTGACATCACTCTATCCAATATATCTGATATATCTGTGAATGGCTAAAATCAGCTACTAGTAAAGGCCAACTGAAAGGCTCCATCTGAAACACTGCTACATGACCTACACTGCTCTATGAGTGCTGGGTCATCGCAGACAAGGATTAAAAAAAGACATCGTAATTAAGCTTTAGCTTTGGTATATCAATGCTCTATGATGTCCACCAAACTAAAAATGACTAAACAAAAAATGGAGAGAAATATACACATAACAGGTGAAGGAGGGTGAATGGAAAAAACAATCGATACAGAGAAAACCCAGTGAGTGAGTACATAAAGCAAAGGAGGCCAGAGGGAGAGAGAAAAGGTGAGGAGACAAGAGAAACATGCCCATATAAAACATAAAATGAAAATGTAATCCCAAAGTAAGCTCTTTTAACATGGGAGGCTGATTACAGCAGGTGAGACTCTTGTGTCACGGCTCAATATGAAAGCTTAAAACTGATTTATCATTTTTGGGCAGCAGAGGTTTGCTGTGTCATAGCAGGAAGGCAGCTCGCCTCTCCATGACCCCGGGTACAAAAAAAGGGTTAATAATATGGATGGATGGATGAGTAGATGGATAGATAGATGGATGAATGAATGGATGGATGAGTGGATGGATGGATGGATGGATAGATGGATGAATGAATGGATGGATGGATGGATGAGTAGATGGATGAATGAATGGATGGATGAGGGGATAAATCGATTAGTAGATGCATAGATGGATGGATGAATGGAACAATGAGTGGATGGATGGATGAGGGGATAAATTGATGAGTGGATGCATAGATGGATGGATGAATGACCGGATGGATGGATGGATGAATGGATGGATGCATAGATGGATGGATGCATAGATGGATGGATGAATGAGCGGATGGATGGATGAGTGGATGGATGGATGGATGGATGAATGAGCAGATGGATGGATGAATGAGTGGATGGATGGATGGATGAGTAGATGGATAGATAGATGGATGAATGAATGGATGGATGAGTGGATGGATGGATGAGGGGATAAATCGATGAGTAGATGGATGGATGAATGGAACAATGAGCGGATGGATGGATAAATGAGTGGATGGATGGATGATAGATGGATGAATGAGTGGATGGATGGATGGATGGATAGATGGATGGATG